TCCTCCCTGGACTGACCTATCCCCTTCCTAACTCCCTACCTACACTCACCTTTACTGGCCCCATCCCCGCCTCTTCGACCTGTTTGTTTCCTCTCCACCTATCTTCTCCTCTATCCATCTTCTATCCGCCTCCCACTCTCTCCCTATTTATTTCAGAACCCCCTTCCCCTCCCCCTTTTCTGATGAAGGGTCAAGGCCCAAAACGTCAGCCTCTCTGCTCCTATGATGCTGCTTGGCCTGCTGTGTTCATCCAGCCCTGCATCTTGTTGTCACAAAAGTAGGAGGATAAGGTAAATGAATGTGTGGCTGGGAAGATAGTGCAGGAAGGAGGACTTTAGATTTCTGGGGGCACTGTCACTGGCTCTAGGAAAGGTTGCATGTGTACAACTGACAGATTGCACCATTGCACATGAACAGAGCTGCGATCAACCTCCTTTTGAGCCATTTTGCTCATGCTGTTGAAAGGCTTTTCAACTAGCTTGTTAGGTGTGTGGGAACAAAGACAGAATACCAAGATTCACAAAATACTTGGGGATACAGCTAGCACTAGCATGGAGAATAGCAAGTTAATACGTGAAGTCAGAGTAAAGGAAAGAGAAAATAAGTCCAAAACAGAGTCTGCATTCATGTATGTAAAAGCATGGAGTATAATAAATAAGGTTTGAGAATTACAGATTGCCATGTGAAAATATGGTGTTGTGTCAATAACAGAGATCTGCCCAAGGTACAACAAGACTGGGTTAAATATTTCTGGTCATAGTGCAAAAGAGATAGTAGCAACATCAATACAATATTGGCTGAGTGACAGGAAACAGAGTAATGATCAATAGACAAAAACAAAGTTGCTGGAAAAGTTCTGCAGGTCTGGCAGCATCTGTGGAGGAGAAAACAGAGTTAACGTTTCGGGTCCGGTGATGATCAATGGATATCTATCAGCCTGGAGAAATGTTTGCAGTGGAGTTCTCCAGCAGTCAGTATTGGGACCCTTGCTTTTGCTGATATATATTAACAATCTGGACCTTGATGCACAGGAGATAATTTCAAGATTTGCAGATGACAGGAAATTTGGAAGAATTGTAAACAGTGAAAGGGCAATGTGGAATTCCAAAGGGTCATTGACAAGTTCAATGAATGTCAGGATAGATGCTAGATGAGGTTCAAAGCAGAGAAATGTGAGGTGATGCATTTTGTTAGAAAGAACATTGAAAGACAATATAAAATAGTAGGTACAATTCTAAAAAGGTTAACCCATCCCTATTGCAAATACATGAGCAGAGGAACCTGAATGTCTGTGTGTGCTGATCATCGAAGGTGACAGGACAGCTGGAGAGAGCAGTTCATAAACCATACAGTTGCCTCTGCGTTATTAGTAGGGTGATCAAATACAAGAGCAAGGTGGTGATGTTGAACTTGTATAACACATTTGTTAAAACTTCAGCTGGACAGTTCTGGGCATCATAACGTAGGGAAGGTGTGAATGCATTGGAGAAAGCGCTGTAGCAATTTACAATAATGGTTCCAGAATTAGGAACTTAAATTATGAGGATAGATTGAAGAAGTTGAGACTGTTCTCTTTGGAGAGAAGCTTTTCCTGCTCATAAAAGGAAAAGAATGAGAGCCATGCCACTAGACCCTAGCAGTCTGGTCCAAAGATCAATGGCGGGAGGAATGGCCAGCAGTTCTGTAAGAAGATCAATTATCTCTGCTTTGCAAGAGTAAGTGCCACATCCTTCTCTCCAACACCTCAAATTTATCCTAGATCTGCTACTGCACCCAACTCCTACCAAGGTTCATGATCTGCTAATCTGCTATTACCTCAAATATCTTCCCTCACTCCATCTACCCCCACACCAGTAACATTGCATGACCTCAGCGCTGTCTACTCACTTGTCTTGGACACTGCACCAACACTAACAATGGTACCATCAACCTTCACCTCATTCAATTCCTCCCTTTCTTTCATTCCAGAAACCAATGTCCCATAGGGCTGAAATGGCCCAGTGGGTGGAGGGGTGTCCAACATTTGACTCCTCAGTCTCCACGAGTAGAGAATTCTGGCTCTCATGGAGGAAGACTGGAACCATTCTTGTGGGGATGCTGAGATATCCGTGTCCTGTCAACCAAGTACCACTTGTCATTTCACTGCAACTCTCACAGTATCCCTGCTGTCAGTCTCATTCATCGCACACCACGTGTAACTATTGGCCACAGCACCTTTCTCACTTGTGTCTTCAAGGTACTAATGGAATGTCCACTTCCTCCGAAGACAAACAGCCAGGTCCAAGAGAGGTCACCTCCTTGACCTCTGAGAACGACAGTATGAGGCCAGACCTTTCACTTCCGACTTGTCTGATCCCCTCCAATCTTGGCAGTTCAAGCTGAGGAGGATTTATTCGTTTCTGGCAAGAAGACCCTCAGCAAACCTGGTCCATCTGGACACTAGCATTCCCAGGGCTCCCCATACAAACCTCTAGAACCAGTGGGCTCCAGTGCTGAGTTGACTCCAGCTTTGGAACCAGGGACTACACCGAGAACACAGTGGGAGGGAGACAAAGAAGAAAAGCCTTTTGAGGCCATTTTGGTGGCACAGGTGTTATTCCACTTACATAAATTTTCATGTTTGTATAAATATCATTACTTTGGCTCTGTATCAATTTGTTTGAGTGTCTGTGTGGCCTCAAATGCAACTATGCCAACATGATGTCTAACTTCATGTGCATACCAGATGCACCATGGATTATTATCTGTGTTAAGAACCTACTGCAGCATGTGGGAGCATAATGAACAAGGCGTATACAGGAGAATGGGTCCTGCTGACACCACTGTCTCTTATCCTACAACATCTGTATTCTTTCCCTGGCCTCTGAGTTCAAAGATATGGGTATGAATGAGGTGGTCAGCAATGCCTGAGGCTGGGAGCTGTACAGCACACATGCAGCCAATGCATTAGGATATGTAGGGATTACAAACCCCATAGGTCTGTGTCTTGTACATTGCATGGGACTGTGTAATGTTGTTTCTCTTTAGGAGCTCTCACATTGGTGGTCCTCACTTATGCAAGTCGAGAAGCTTACCCCTACCCACTCTGGGTGTTTTCACAACCATTTTCTTTTTCATTGCACTTCCAGCACAATGGAACTCAGCAGTGACCTTACGATGGATGGAAGATCATTGCTGAAGCAGCTGAAGATGGTTTTCCCTCGGACACTAGTCTGAGAAACTCCTGCAATGATGTCCCAGGATCTAGACTGATTGACGAACAACTACAACCTCTTCCCTTGTGTTTAGTATGATTCCAACAAGTGGGGAGTTTACCTAACTACCATTGACTATTTTTTCTAGGACTCCTTGATGCCATACCCAGTTAAATACTGCCTTGATGTCAACAGCGTATTACCACTTGAGTTCAGCTCTTTGGTCCATGTTTCATTCATGTCTGCACTGAGATTAAGTCTTGAAAGGCACTGGTGGATATATTTGCTAATCAACCCTGTTCAGAGATGTTATTACATTCCAACACCACCCTCCCTCCATCCTGCCCGAGAAAGTGGCACTTGAACCCAGGATTCCTGGCCCACAGGACACTACTACTGTACCACAAGAACTTTTGGCCCTGGTGGCTTTTTAAATGCCTGGGGCTGTGACTTTTCTGTCTAGTTATTGGTCTCTTCTTTTAAAACACTCCTTTAAGCTTACTTCTTTGACCAACATTTTAGCCATTTTCCTAATATTTCTTTCTGTGGCTCAGTATTCAACTTTGTTTGATAACGCTGCTATAAAGTACCTTGAAATGTTTTACTAAATGTATTAAGAGTAGTAAATAAATTCAGCTTATCATTTACAGTTATAAATTCATATCTTATTCTTTGAGGATAATCCTTCATTTAAGGAACCTGATTCCAGTTACCCTTCTCATTTATCTGGAATTCTTATTTTTGAACATTCTTTAGCAAAATACTTCAGAGCTTCTATCCAAATTTTTATTGTCTCTCCAGTCTTATTTCTCCTGTCCGTTTTCTTTTATGTACACTTTATTCCATAGTGTCTCTCTCTTCAATTCCATCCCCTGCCCTTTCCTGAAAGCAAAGAACTGCGGATGGTGGAAATCAGAAATAAAGATAGAAATAGCTGGAGAAACTCAGCAGGTCTGGCAGCATCTATGGAGAGAAAACAGAGTCAAGAATTCGGATCCAGTGACCCTTCTTCAGAACACCCTGCCCTTTGTTCCCTTCCAGAGACTTCATAGATGTTGAGCCTCCTCCATATAACTGCAATCTATTTTTATCTGCCCACTTTTTAAAAGTGTATTATTGTTTTTTATGAATTGACTGTCTTCAGAAGAAGATAAATCATTACCCTTTACCTATGGCCATTCCAAAGTAGCGCGAATTGCGCCAACAGGCCCATCGGCATAGTTGCCGGTGGGTGACTGTAATTTTTCTAATTGGAAACTGAGCTCAGACTTTTCCCAGTGTCATCTGCAGACAAGAGCCAAAAGCAAAGTGCAGATGGGGATCAAAGGAATGAGTCAACAACTGGGGTAAACGCCTGAGATAGGAAGCTGCCTGTATGCAACATGGCACCCGCTTGTCAGAGGACAAAAATGGTGGCTGAACTGATGATTGCTGGGTAATTTCACCTGCCTGTTTTTACACAGTTTATCATTTGCATGTTTTGAATTGTAGGAATACAATAAGAACTTGTGAATTGTTTGCAGCCACGATACAAACCTCGTTGCACGCAATGGGGTTTTACCCACTGCTGAGGTCTCTGGAGGCAGGCCTTGTCACCCCCCTGTGCACCCACCAGGCTTCAGTCCTCATTATTATAATTCAGGAAGGAAAGGGGTAAGATTGCCTTAATTTTGCATGAAATCTTAAAGGCAAAGTTAGTTCCCACGTTCTCCGTGAGGGAGCGTGTAGGTATATCAACACAGCATAAAAACCCACTACCACCAAAGCCATACTACTGTCCATCACCTGCACCATCTTTTTTATTGTGTTAGCTTAGAGCAAGACAGGATTGTGTGTTGTATCACTTTACAGGCAACATCAGGACAAAGTGGTTCACAGCTTATATCTGCATGCACTGGAAGACAGCCTAAATATTGCAGGCACCTCAATACAAAATCAAGTTTTGGTTTCTTATATCCAGTTGAATGTATATCCACTGCAAAACAGCATGCAGCTTCCTAGGTAACCAGTTTGAACATGCTGATTAAAAAGATATCACATGCTATTTATAAACAGAGCTCGGGCTGGACCAACTGTATTACTGACCATCTTCAGTGTTGGTGGATTTTTCTTTTACCCAGAAGCACACAAAAGAGACATTTTAATTTTTTCTGGATATTAGCATTAAATTAGATCCTATCATTGTTGCTCTTGAATGACTCAACTCCATAAGAGCCCCAAATATAGGTTGTTTTCTGAACTGACTGCTATATAGCAACATGCACTGCCTAAACTCATAGCAGCAAGTAGATTACAGATAGGTGGACAGAAGCATAGACAGAGATCAGATAATGATACATGATTATTATAAACTATTTCAAACATAAAGGATAAAGCACTTTGTGTATTAGGACAATGACAAGTAAGGATTAAAATTAATGTCTGATTTCCATTCTGCTGTTAAAGATAGCCATTTTCTTCCTGACTGTTTTGATGTCCTTCTCCAGAATCATGTGGAAGATGTTTTGCAAAGGTTTGATAACAAGAAGTAGAGTATTCTGACCCATGCATCTGTTATAAGGGAACTAATTACAATAATATCACATTGCCAAATGTGCATGATGTTACGTACTGTCTTATATTTTGGGAAGTTTTAGAAAGATTCAATGGTAATCCATGGAATCTCAGTGAACTACTGTGTGGTTTTATAAAACCTCAGCAAGTGTCAGTGTGACTCTGTGAGATATCAGCACCCTGCACCATATGTATTTACAGTGGTTCAACCAGGTGTTTCACTAATACTTTATCAGGGGCATTAGGGATGGGCAGCTAGCGATACCCATATCCCGTGATATATTAAAAAATGTGAAATCTCAAAACGTCTCTACCACCTATGAAATATTGATGAGTTTCAATAAGATTTAATGAATCCATGATATGCCTTATGATTTCTACATGTAAGTATTTGGTAATGGAGGAATTCAACACTCCATTTGACTGAATGCTGTTTTAGTTACTATCATGCTGTTGAACCTCAATGATGTGCTATAGTATTCTAATATTCTGCTGCGGAGGTGGAAGCTTGGAATAATAGCTAAAAAGCCACAATTAAGAAAAGAATTAAAGATAACATTTCAAATTCAAAGATTGAAAATGTAAAGTTCTGAAAATTCAGCATTCAGATTATATTAAGACAATGAGATGAGATTCTAAATTAACTGTTAAATCTTGTAATACTGTATTGTTAAATGTGCCAAATTTGTCTGTCAAGAATCTGTAAAGGTGTGCTTCTCTAGATTATATCTTACACAATAGTTACAAAATCAGACAGGTGAAATTACTTAGTTTTAGCATATCTGTTAATGCAGTTAAGTGTAAGTCTCAGGTGGAAACATAATTGAAAATTAACATATCTGACATGGATATTTGGCATTCCAATGAAGCACCACAGAAAGGCATCAAAGCTGCCCAAAATAGATGACCTATTAATACTGTAGGAAGTAATGGTCAGTGACCTACTGATGTTCTGTTACTAGATGCCACTATCATATTTGATTAAATACTGTATCATAACCTATTTACAAAGAGTTCAAGACATCTAGACGTACAAAATCATTACAATGCAATTTGTTTCTCCATGCTGACTCTTCAGATTCTGTGCTAAGCTTCATAGAATGGGCAGGAGTGTCTGAATGAATACCTAACTCCAGAATCATCCGTCTCACATTGGTTGAGATAGAATTGAAAAAAAAAATAACTGGAAGACAATTATTATTTGATTGATAAGCTCCTGAACACAACAGTTGCTTATGGGAAGTTTTCATACCAAGTATCTTCTTTCTTCTAAACCTCCTTCCTGGCCATTTAATGAAGATTTGGGAATTAGGTGACAGTTAGCATACATAGAACAGAGAGAATGAAAAAAATTCAGTTCAGTAAGGTGCTCTGGAGAGATTCATGCACTGGCAGATATGGTTTTGTGTCTCCTGTTGCAATACTATTGTGATCTCATTGTGCTTATTAAACAGTTAATGCTTGACATTTGTGCCATTTATAATTTGTCTGCAACAAAGCACAGCCAATAATTCTACACCAACTAATGTACTTGCATTGCCCCAGGAAAACATGAAATTAAGTTTTCCAAATCAATCATCCAGGAACAGGAAAGTTATTCTGATTGCCATTGGCTTTTGTTGCCTGAAATTCCCACCATAAATCTCTTTGCTACTCTCTTCACCACCCAAGTTATTTCTCAAAATGTTACATTGTCTAACCTTTTCATTGGTGTCAAATTTTATTTGATCACATTCTTGTTGAGCACCTTGGAATTCTTCAGTATATTTATGGTGCAAAATGCACAATATTGCTGTTGTAAATTTTCTTGCATTTGCTGGGTGGTGGGTGCAGGAGATGAGTTTTGTTTCCATTACACGATGTTTGCAAGAGTTATGAATTGAAGCACTTTTATCATTTTAGCAGTAAGCATTCATATTAAGCCCATACATGGCACATTCAGGATGAGCTAGATTAACACTGCCCCCACTCTACACCAACAAGTTGGTTCTATATCTTCTAGATTCAGAAAACCTTCAATATGTAATTCCATTTTCCACACAAGGATGCAGTTTTCCTCTTGAGCAAGACATCCACATAAATTATGAACAAATTTTTGTTTTGCAAACCAACATAACAGTTTATCATTCCATGACCACACCCAATTAATTTCAATTAGGACCTTAATGGCCAGCAGGGAGAAAGAAAAAGCAGTTGTTTTCATGCATTAGTCAGGAGCGATTTTATACCCAGGTTCCAAAGGTGAGAGCACATGGTAACCAAAGTCCCCTTGTTTAATCTTTCTTTCTCTAGGCAGGTCTAAATTGTTGCAAAGGTTACTGATAGAGCCAGAGAGCAGGTCAAACTGTACTGTTGGATTTTAATGTGGGGATGGATGAGGTCATTCTCTTTGGAATTAAGAAAGATAGATAGCTAAATAGTGAGAAGACAATGGAGACTATGATTGGTCAGTACTGTTAAAAATCATTTAAGATTATGCTGTCATTCAGTGAATATTTGATCCTCCTTTCCTTGTTAACTCCTTTTATTGGTGACCTCTTTAATTGCAAGGTAACAGAGGTACAGATAGATTGAGAAGATAATTAAAAATTTGGAAATATGTGGCTTCATTAAACAGAGGATGTGTGGACAAAAAAAAATTATGTCTATGCAGGAATTCTGAAACAGAAACTGCAAATGTTGGAAACACAATAGTTCAGGCAACATCTGTGTAGAAGACAGATAATTCATCCAGTCAGGCATTCTCTTCAAGGGTGAAGTATTGTCTGTTGTCTCAAATGCTGAAAGTTGCTAAATTTTGTTTCAGAAGTTGTTTGAACAGTTTTTTTTTTCCACCTACATTCTTCTCCTGTCTCTCAGACAGAAGCTCTACATAAGGTAAGTACAAGAAATCCTCCCAGTACCTCAGAAAGATGAGCCACTAGCAATCAGCATTGGATACTCCCTATAATTTAGAGCATTAAAATAATATTTAGGATCTCCTAATGTCATCCTAAATTAATTGATAATAGTTTTAATTAAAACTATGATCAAAAGTGCGGAAATTGTGGATGATGCAGCACCTAAAGCATAGGTTAAAAAAAGCCTTTTCTAATGATAGTCTTCTTATACAACCAAGTCCTCCAGAATTTCCTTTTTACTTTGGAATCTTTCCCCATGCCCATTTTAAAAATTAAATCATTGTAGCGATTCATTTACACTGTCTGTAAATCATTCATAAATGACCCTTATTCTACAGAATTACCTCAAACTTATAAAAAGATAACTCTTTCATCTCTCTTGTCTTGTGTATTTTTTGTTCCTGTTTTGTGTTTTATTGCAAATGGGTTAGATGCAGCCTGATAGCAGATTATTAATTTAGAACTTCTTCCCATTCATGTTATGACCTTGCATTCAGTGGTGGCACGAATAGGAATAAAATGCTGAGGGCAACCCTTGGCATTGATGGTGTTAGGTGAGAGGATTTTCTTTATAAAATGGTTACCCCCTTTTCCCTCTAACAAATAAATATTGCAATGGCAAAGAGACCAAGAAGCATCCAGAGATTTCCCTTTACAACTTTAAGCACTTCGGCATCATATATTTTGCCTTTAAATTCTCTCCTCTATGCTGTTTCTCCTAAAAAGTAGGTCAAACATTGAGTTCAATGCTACAATGGAAATACCCATTTTTGGAAGCTAATGATTCTCTATCGCATAGGGTTAGAACATTCTAAAGTACTAGATGACTCCATCTTTATGCTCAAAATATTTTTAATAAACCTATTGATCTAGGTAAAAATTTGGGTTGGACGTATTTTAGAGCTTAAAGTTCACTGTCAAAGAGATTGACGCAATTGCCTTTTAAGCAATTACAGGACTTTAATCATTTTAGATCAAATTGCTTTTCCATTAGAGACAATGGTCAGGAAATTCTGCATCCTTTACTATGGCAGAAGTATGATGTGGCATTACTTGCATCTAGTGCTGTGCTTGTTACTGACCCTGCCCTATTCCTTGGAAATGCAAGTCATTTGAAGCAGCCACTTGTAGGTCTAGTGATGCAACAGAGGTTCATGTTGATTGAGGAGATGGACATTGGTATTGACAGTTTACTGTTGCAAAAAAAAAGTTGGAGAACTGAAACAGGTTAAAATGGAAAGGAAAGTAATGTTGTCAGTCTTCTCAGATTACAATTCTTTTCTAAACTGTAGGGATCTGCCAAAATCCTAAAAGACAAACATATCCAGAAAGCCCCAGACCAGGACTCAAAAAATTTCTTACTGTGGTAGAAGCTGAGAAGTGCAATTTTAAACGGTAGGAAACCTATGGATCCACAGTCTGCCCCAAGATCCAGATTCCACTGCATTTGAACTCTTGGACAAGTCTGGTGAGTATAAATCAGCACAAAGATTCATCATAAAAGATATGGGGGTTGGAGTTGATGGTTGTTGCATGCAGGTTTCAGCTGATCACCTGCCCTGGTACAGAATACCCACTGTAAAATACAGGGAAAGGAAGAGAAATCATGGGTCCTGGTTATGTTCCTGGTCCCAGCCCAGGGCACAGTGGCTTGCTAGAGCCCTGGACCCCTGTTTATTGGCCCTCATGCACCCCACTATCTAGAACCTGGTAATCGGCCAGTGCCACAATATTGAGGAAACTGCATGTTCCTCCATCACAATGATTAGTTCAGCTGGGTCTAATTGGATACCGTTTGTCAAAGAAAGGCCAAGTGCTTCTAGAAAGTAAAGAGATGCAAACCCAGGTCTTAGTTTAATGTGACCAGGTCTTCCCAGGATATTGTTTGGGAACCTTTAAGGAGGTGAGGAGAAGAAGTAATATCAGAATGATCATGCACCATTTTTCTCACAGTGATGTTTCGCATGTACGGTGCAGTGATGTGTTCCAAGACGATTGTAGTATACAGTTTGTACGTAAACAAAAGACAAATGTTGATGAAACACTTTTCACAGAAATAGTGTCCTCTCATCAAAGTATTTTCAAATGAAAGAGAATGAGATGGACAGAGGAGGAGGGAAGTGACCAAATTTGATGGCACAAACTGAACGTAGGCTCTGGTAAGAACGTAGATCAGTCACTGGGAATGGGATTTGCATTGTAGAGAGTATGCCAGCGTTCAATCTTTTTATCCTTGTTCTTCAGGCACTCGTACCAGTGCTTTAAACAGTCACCTTTAGCGTTAATGCCCATTATGATACTGCCTGTTACAGAGAGAAAAAAAAATGATATTATACACTAATAGCCTAAAAGTATCAAATAACAAAGACACTGGACAAGGGAGATAAAGCCATTGGTATCCTAATTAAACGTACTGTATTTCTATCCAATACTATGCCTGAAGAAATGACAAACCCTGTTTATGTATTGGACTACCCAACTGTGTAAATTTGCCTGTATTCTAAACTGTGTGGTCACTGACACCAATGATTCGAGAAGATATATAAACTTTTCATAAGATTAGTCCTTGTTTAAAAGAAAATAGATTTTGCTCAATTCAGGTTTCCAAATCAAACTTTAAGCTTCCTAAAAATGTTAATACATTAAAGGTGCTATATAATGTAAGGTGTTTTTACATTGAGTAAATGGATTCTGCTGTGGCACAGATGCAATTCAGGAACTGATCTCATCCAGGTTGATGGCTGGACCACTAAATTGGTTTTCTTATATTAGGATGTAAAATGATAACAGACAATTAGTTTAACAGGAAATAAAAACAAACAGAGAATATTGAAAATGTGCAGCAGGTTAGTCACCAACTTAGCTCTAGTTCTGTCCCAGTACAGCAATATCCTTTGGAAATTGGCTGCTTCCAAAGAAAGGGGAAATAAATAGGGCCAGAAGTATTGTCTACCTGTAAACGCTGCCAGCTTCAAGACTTTCTGCTATTGTACAAAAGCAGCATCCAGACAGGCTCCAGCTTTGATATTTGATCTAACTGAATCCTCTGAAAATCTCCTGCCTGCCAACTTCTCAGAATCTTCAGTGCATTTCTCATGCTATTACCAGCTAGTGATCCAGAGGATGCCTGGTGATATCACTCGGTACATCTGATTTTCATTTTTCTGCCTATTCCAGGCAAAAACTTGCCAGAGAAACCCTCAGAAAAGGTGCATGAAGCAGATGGATTGGTGACCTGGCTTCATGGGGTTCTGCTCCCTTTTCATCTGAGTTTCCACATTGGAAATAAGCATATGTGGAGTACAAATTAAAGGAAGACCAAATCACCCAAGCTGTCTTTCTTATTCAATCAAACAGTATGTATTTGAAGAAGTTATTAGGAGGAACCATAATCCTTTTTAGTGAACTACTTGATTCTTGTAATTAAAACAGAGCTTTAGTAGCTATAATAGGATTAACATCATGAAAAGCTGAGACTAATCTGTTTGATCAGGTTCCATGATTTAAACAGCATTACTTGTTCAATGAAAAGCTCACTAGATTAAATGGAAATGGATGTAGTGTTGAATCTTATGTGCCCTGAATTCCTTGTCAGCATTTTAAAGGCCGAATAGTAGTGCCTGAAAAGTTAAATAATCAGCTTGACTTTAACAATCTTAATTAATGACTTTACTGGAAAAATTGGTGTTGATGTCATTTTTTTTCACAGATACAGCTTCTGTGGATATAAATTTCTGATCATCCATCTGTCTCAAAGCCAAAGGTAGAAAGCTATTGCTGAGGGAGATGGGGCCAGGACTAATTTTTAACTTTTTCCCACATTTCTCGCTGATTTTCTCAACATGTATCATTCCATTTTTTGTTCACTCCAAATACATTATGGTAGAATATTAGATATTTTTCCTCTTCTTGTCTTTATCTTTCAAATATTTCCTCTCACATCCTGTCTCATTTGACATAAACTAGTGCATGAACTTTACACTTTATTCCAGAATTTAAAAATCTAATAATTGCTAGGTAGTACAGAACATAGACATTACTAAAAGGAGACTGGAAGTGAAAGCTTTTCACCTTGCACTCATCATGACTGAAATACAAAAAAACCATCTTAGAAAGCATATCACTTTCCTAACGGAAAACTATTCAATGTGTGGACATATTCTTTTAGCCTACAAAGAAAAGGGCCCAAAGTACGAACAAATGACAGGTTTTTATACATTTGTGTAAATATATCAAAATAAACCAATTACCTGACCGTGAGAGTAATGTCTAAATCTGAGCTTTTAACCTCTACTTATTTTTCCACTTTCTTTTTGTTTCCTTGGATGGCTCCTTAGGTTGAATTTGGCAGTTCTCTACAATTCTCTACTCCAGCCTAACCACACTACATCTGATAAAGTTCCACACTTTCAGATAGTAAGACTTGCTACCCATTTTGAATTTCCAACTTTTGTAGTTTTTACTTCTAACTTTTGATATTTTATCCTGTGGCTTTTGTCCATTTGGTTTTACATTCCATATATATTCCATATACTAGTCAGCTCAACGATGAAGCAATAAAGTACTGACAATGGATGAGTTATAAATATATGGCATAAAGATATGCAGAATACATCTGAGCTCACAAGATCATTACATAGATTCCATCTAAACCGAAATATCTTAAAATCTCCCAGGCAGCCAGTACTACCATTCCAATATGTGATTTTATTACTTTTTATTGGGTTCCAATATCTAGAAGATAAAGGTAAATGGAAATTGGGTATCATGTACATCACAACTCAATAATTCTTCTGCCATGGTCTCTGTTCACCCTCATCTATACAGCTCTGCAGATTTATACAGGGGAAAACGATTTGTCCGATTCAACTATGTGTTTGCTTTTCTCTACAGATATTAAAAAAGTGCATTTCCCATGAGGGGGTGACCATAGATCAATTTCATCCAGATGGGGATATTAGGTTTACCAGTGTTAGATGCAAGTTCCTTTTTGGTTAAAAAAATTTCAACAATGGGCTTCTGGCTCACTCATCTGAGGAATAACAGACAAAAGTGGGGAGTAATTGCAAGGTTGGAGAGTCAAGCTGAGAACAACCTGTCACTGAGTATCTTGGAAGAGCAAGTTCAATTTCACAGCAGTCTGTGTGTCTCAGTTAAATATCTTTGCCCAAGAACCTAAATGAAGCACATGTGATTTGAGCTGTCCTATCATAAAAGGCCCAAGTTGTATTCACATATATACATTGGTTAGGATTTGGTATATTCTCAGATGGTTAAGGTTTTAGCTATTATTTTACAGATGTGTCTCGTGGCTATGTAACGATAGGTTCTCTGCAGCAAAGACAGAATCCTGAATCCTATTGTCTTTCTCATGCCAAGGTTAAGGATATCTTTTCAGTGCTGGAGAGGAACTTGGAGTGGGAGGGGAAAGGTACAGTCGTTGTTTGCCCTCATAGGTACCAATGATATAGGTAAGTAACAGAAAGAGGTTCTGCTGAGGGGTAAGGAGCAGCTCGGCTAAATTAGAAAACAGAATCACAAAAGTAATAATCTCTGAAATAGTAACTGAGCCATGTGCAAATTGGCATAGGGTAAATGAGATTTGACAGATAAATGCACAGCATAGAGATTGCTGTGGGAGAAATGGGTTTTGATTCATGGGCACTGGGAAGAGAGACAGCAGTTTTGTTGGGACAGGCTTCATTGAACCATGCTGGGACCAATGTCCTGGTAAATCGTATAACAGAATAAGGGGAGTCTCATTTAAAACTGAGATGCAAAGGAATTTCTTCTCTGAGAAAGTAATGAATGTTTGGAATTCTGTACCCAGAGAGTTGTGGAGGCAGATCACAAAGCATTTAAAGAGAAGATGGTTATGTATTTGAAATATCAGGAAATGGAGGGCTACGAACAGCTCGCATGGAAGAGGAGTTGAGGCCTGGGTCAGTTCAGCCAATACCTAACTGAATGGTGAGACAGAATTGAGGAACTGAATGGCCATTCTGCTCCTCATCCTTATTTTCTGATATAGAAATAATGAAGTAATAAAAGTTATTAATTCCCAGAATGCTTCAAGTACAGTATAGACAATGAATGGGCTCAAAATAGATCACTGTTTGATTTGATTCATTATTGTCATACAGACTGAGATACAGTCAAAAGTATTGTTTTGCGTGCAATTCAGGTAGATCATACCAAACGTGAGTACGTAGGGGTAATAGAACAGAATGCAGAATATAGTGTTACAGCTACAGAGAAAGCACAGAGAGACATCAACTTTAATATTTGACAGGTCTGTTCAAAAGTCTGATAACAGTGAGAAAGAAACTGTTCTTGAATCTCTTGGCACATGTATTCAAACTTTTGTACTTTGGTTCAATGGAAGAGGGTGAAAGAGCATATAACCAGGGTAGGAGGGGTCTCTGATGACATTGGTTGCTTTCCCAAGGCAGCGGGAAGTACAGACTAATTCAATGGAAGGAAGGTTGGTTTGCATGTTGGACTGGGCTGTGTAGAATAGACAATGAGTTCAGGTTAGTTATCTGCATGCTAGATGGTAAACAGATTGGCCATCTGGAAGTTTATTGGACCTACCTTATCTCTGGGGTTCACATTCACATTGACACTTGGAATGTCATAATGAATCATCTGGCACAGTGCATGTGTCTGCTAGAAGCCTGTAAAGGTTTTGGCCCCTATTGAGCAATCCATAGACTGCTAGAAGATAAAAGATCAATGGAGACTGTGGCCAGGATTTAATTCTTGAGACTCAATGCCTCCTCCCCCTATCCATCAGTTTGCGAATCGATTGGAGCCCCACGTCCCATCTGTGGACAGACCCAACATAATTTATGTCTATCTGGACATTTAACTGGTTAGTGCTGGGCCTCCCACAAGGTCAAATACGGCCATCAATTTGAGAATCGATCAGAGCCCCACATTCAATCTGTGGAAAGACCCAATGCAATTTAAGTCTGTTAAGACATTTAATAGTCAGTGCTGGGCCTCCCATAAGATCAAGCCCCAGTTGGACAGAAATTTGACCCTAAGAGCAGCTGACCAGACATAGGTGAGTAAATCATAGAGGCATTTGGCCTATTGAGACTGCATTGACCCTCCGAACAGCATCCCACCAAACCCACTCCCCCATCCTATTTACCATGGCTAATCCACCAAGTCTGCACATTCCTGGACACTATCGGGCAATTTCACATGGCCAATCCATCTAACCTGCACATCTTTGGACTGTGGGAGTCTGGAGCAGCTGGAGGAAACCCACGCAGACACGCAGAGAATGTGCAAACTCCACACAGATGGTCACCCGAGACTAGAATCGAACCCAGGTCCCTGGCGCCGTGAGGCAGCGGTGCTACAGCTTTGCTGCTTGTGCCACCCTGAGTGGAGTGGGATAGGCTTTGTGGGGTTGAGCAGATGTAGCAAAATCAAAGGCAAGGGCAACTATTTTTTTTCCACCAGCCCATCTTCCTAATGCCAGGTCCTTCGATTGGCCACTGAGGGCCTGACAGCAAGGACCCTTCCCCTGCCACAGTCGTAGACAAACCCAATGGAGTATGCTGGATGACCCTCAGGAGGCATGGAAGAGTTTTGTTTAATTCTTGAGCCACTACTGAACTCTGATGGACTCAATATTAATTTATGTCAAGTGACTCATTAATAAGCCCAACTGGCAATCCAATAGCAAGTAGCGAGATTCCCACGTCAGGCCCATCCCTAATTCTCCTGGACTACCAATCATCCTGCCCATTCAAATGGGTTAAATAAATTGGAGGAAAAATTAATTGTATTTATTTATCTGACCACGACTAACACAAAAAAGGATTATGTTGCATATATATTTGGTTTCAAGTTTGATCATCTGGCACAATGTAGTCTCTCAGCCTACTTGAAGAAAATGCAAATGAAGATATTTTAAGTCTTGGGTGGTGATTTTATGTAAGCAGCATTTTGTAGATTTGTATAATAGTACACATTCATATTTAGAGTCTGTGACTATTGTTGTAGGCTCTGCTTCTCTAACTGATGGCATCACCACTCAACAGAATATGATGTGTGAACATGCTGTGACAGGAGGACGGTAGAAATGACTCTCCTGTCTTACGAGTAGTGTCTACTCTGCTTACACAAACTAAATCTTCTGCCATGGTTCTGGAGTTTAATGCCATGTGAGTCAGCCCATGTTTTCTCCGCTTCAAAAGTGGGAGGCTGCTTTGTGTCACATAATGATTCCTAAGCTAGTCATGACAAGTATCTGCTTCTACTGAGCACTTACTGTGTGCACAAACCACGCTTATCTTTTGCGGACAGGGATTGGATGTTGAATGGATTAATTAGGTTATTAGACCTGAAGAGATAAACTTCTCACTGAGAATTATAATTCTTTCCACTCAGCCTCAGATCACTGTTGAATTGAAGCTGCAATGATTAGGTTGCAAACTGAACAAGAAATAATGGCCTAATCAAGACCTTGTTTTAATGAGCTGAACTCCAGCTGCAGTCTGCACAGTTAGTGCTCCTAAGCCTTAACCTGTCAGTCTTCACCTAAGCTCTTTGAACGTAAATAAGTCTGAATGTCTCCCTACAAGGAGAAAGTGTATGCTTATTAATGAGAAACAGCAATCATTCTGGTGTGTAGATCTTTTTCTGCAGCCTGTTTTGAAGATTCTTAACATGGTGATGGGTTTTCGAATGTGCCAAATACATGTCTAGCCAAGAAAAAAAAATACTATCATAACTGCCTGAATACAATGGGCCACATGAGCAGTTGTGAGAAAATCATTTCTTCCTAGATGACTCGTTGGATGGTCAGTAAATTGCATGCATGGGAACATGAGAAAAATGTGTCCTAACTGGAAATTAGAGAGAACAGAGGAATAAATACAATAAATAGTCGTGGTTGTTTCCTGTTCCCTAGCATGTGTTCCTTTAATTGAAAGCACTTCCAATTCTTAACTCACCAATATAATCATTGGCTTTGCCAATGTCATAATCCCACACGGAGAGTTCCAGAGTTTTCTTAGCCAGGTCATTGTGTTTAATATCATAGAAGAATTCCTGCAGAGAAAGGAAATGAATTGGTAATTATACGCTTTCATGCTTCTGACTTACATAAGAAGAAGATAAACAGCTGCTATCAATTCTGTGAGCACTTAGAATGGGATTGAAGTCAGGAGATAGAAGGGAAAGGAGAATTTCAGCATCAGTGGATTTGAAAATCTAATGTAATGGGGTCTTATACAGGATCCTTTGGGATAGCTGACTTAAAATCATAGAATCATACAGTGCAGATGTGGCCATTCAGCCCATTGACTCTGCACTGACACGTGAGCAACACCTGACTTTCAATCTAATCCCATTTACTAGCATTTGGCCAAAGCCTTAAATGTTATGACCAAGTACTTTTTAAAGGATGTGAGATAATTCGCCTCTACCATCCTTCCAGGCAGTGCATTCCAGACCATCACCACCTCTGGATATAAAACGCTTTTCCTCACATTCCCCCTAAACTTATTGCCCATCACCTTGAACCTGTGTCCCCTCATGACTGACCATTCAATTAATGGGAACAGCTGCTCCTTACCTACTCTGTCCATGCCCCTCATAACCTTGTATACCTCAATCAGATCGCCCTTCAGTCTTCTTTGCTTCAACAAAAACAAGACAAACCTATCCAATGTTTCCTCATAACTTAAATTTTCTATCCTAGGCAGCATCGTGATGAATCTCCTCTGCATCCCCTCCAGTGCAATCACACCCTTTTGTAATGTGGTGACCAGATATGCACACAGTACTCTAGCTGTGATTTCACCAAAGTTCTATATCACTCCAACAAGACTTCCCTGCTTTTGTAAGCTATGCCTCGATTGATAAAGGCAAGTGTCCCATATGCCTTTGTCACCACCCTACGAACACGCCCTTCGCTTTCAGTCTATGGGCAAACTCCAAGGTCCCTTTGTTCGACAGAATTTCCTAGTGTCATGCCATTCATTGAATACTTTCTTGTCAAATTACTCCTTCCAAAGTGTATCACCTCACACTTTTCTGGGTTGAATTCCATCTGCTGCTCATTTGCCCATTTGACCATCCCATTTACACCCTTTTATAGCCCGAGACACTCAACCTTACTGTTAACTACCCAACTTCATCTCTGCTTTAATTCCTCCATAGTAGGTAAAGTATATATTTTTAAAAGTAAAGGCACCATAGTCCTACTGGACCAGAAGACAGCTCTCTCATTAGCGAGAAATGGTGGTGGTTTAACCTGAGGGTCACTATGCCTCAGGTGAGGAGAGAAGTTGAGAAGGAGAGTCCTTCATGCTAACCTCACCTGGTGTGGGAGTCACACCCATAGTTAATACCATTTTACTAGATTAAGATGTGTCCCTTTTCTTTCAACTAACTCCTTTTCATATCTTGCTTTGAATCTTTAGTCAGGTATTCATTTGTAAGAGTTGATGGGTGTGACTAACCAGATGACAATATTTGTATCTTTTGTAGAGACATAATCTTATAATATGAGCAAACTGGCAAGGCTGCATTCATTCCCAGTTCTTGGTTGTATTAAAAAGCTTTTTTCCCTGCACTGTTTCAGTTCTGATGGTGCCACCATAATAAGTTATTAAGGCAGCCCATGAACACTAACCCAGCGATCACTAAGGTAGAGTGATATATGTTACCTGGATAATGTATGACATGAACAGATTTAAATCTAATATAGGCCACTGAACATGCCTGAGTAGCCTGCAGTTTATTTAACACCAATTGTAACACTTCCTGTATAAACAGTACAAGCTGAGGAATCTAACATAGCAGTTGGTGCTAAACACTAACCCACCGTTTTTCCAGCCCCTGCTGTTTTTTGTAAACTCTGCTGGCCATAGACCAACAGACCAAACACATTTTGAAATTCCAATATTCAATGAATTAATTCAGACTCATCATGGATTTAATAACAAAATGCTCAAATCTGGCAGAGTCCCAACACCACCAGCAAAGTTTTGCAGCCAGCAGAAACAAGGCCAAGTTATTTTATTCAAAACTTTCCCACAGAACATGATCCTGCTTCTTTTGGCCCCACAAGGAATCCTTATACCTTCCTCTACCCCAACTTTCCTCCCTCCCTCGCTAAAATTATAATGATCTCATTCACCACCCAGTGCCTTTACAGCAGATCGTATCCCTGAGCTTCCAGTTCAGTCTGAAACACCGCAATTTTCCACTTTTGCCTGCCTGTGTCCATGTATTCCCCCTCAATCAGGAGTAAGCATCGTGACAAGTAACTGAGACCCAAGATTTAAAATTGTTCAGGCCTCAAGCTAGTACGATCTTGTGTGCCTCCCTCCCAATCCAGGTCTGCACATCATTGTCCTGTCCCAAGCTAAGTTGGAGCCTCTGTCTCTGAAATTACCTATGCTCCAAATAGATAAAGTGCTGAATGGATGCTCTGTGTTCCTCCGTAACTACTTGGCTCAGAACGCTAGACGTGAATTCATATTGCACCTCATACAGAACCAACTCATAAACCAATAATGCTTTATGAGAATAATTTTGAATGCAGAGTTCTGAGTTACAGAAAGATCTGGATGTCTTCAGGCTTGAATCACAGAAGGTACATCAAGTAATTAGGAGAGCCAATCGAGTGTTAACATTTATCACGGGGTGGCACAGTGGTTAGCACTGCTGCCTCACAGTGCCAGGGTTCAATTCCACCTTCGGGTGACTGTCTGTGTGGAGTTTGCACGTTCTCCCCGTGTCTGCATGGGTTTCCTTCGGGTGCTCCGGTTTCCTCCCACAGTCCAAAGATGTGCCAAAAGAAGCAGGATCATGTTCTGTGGGAAAGTTTTGAATACAATAACTTGGCCTTGTTTCTGCTGGCTGCAAAACTTTGCTGGTGGTGTTGGGACTCTGCCAGATTTGAGCATTTTGTTATTAAATCCATGATGAGTCTGAATTAATTCATTGAATATTGGAATTTCAAAATGTGGATTGGCTATGCTAAATTGCCTGTAGTGCCCAGGGATGTGTAGGTTAGGTGTGTTAGACTTGGGAAATGCAGGGGTAGGGGAATGGGTCTGAGTGGGATGGTCTTCAGAGGGGCGGTGTGGACTTGTTGAGCCGAATGGCCTGTTTTCACACTGTAGTGGTTCTGTGATTCTATGAATCCATAGATGTGCAGGCTAGGTGTGGATTGGCCATGCTAAATTGCCCATAGTATTCAGGGATGTGTAGATTAGGGGGATTGGTCCAGGTGGAATGCTCTGAGTGTCGGTGTGGACTTGTTGAGCCAAAGGGCCTGTTTCCACACTGTAGGGATTCTATGATTTATTGTAAGGGAATTAAATACAAAAGTAGGAATTTTATGCATCAGTTATACAGAACACCGGTGAGTATTCGTCACCTTTACTTCAGGAAGGACATAAATGTGTTGAGAATAGCTCAGAGAACACTTACTAAACAAGTACCTGTGATGGGCAGGTATTCCTATGAGGAAAGGTTTAACAGGCTAGAATTGAATCTACATTTTGACAAGTAAAAGGTGACTTGATTGAAACAAATAAAATTCTGAGTGGTCTCGACAGGGTAGCTGTGGAGAGGATGTATTCTCTTGTGAGAGAAACTAGAACTAAGGGTCACTGTTTAAAAGTAAAGGGTTTCCTATTTTAAACAGATGAGGCTCAAGTTTTTCTTTTACAGACACTAAGAGTCATTGAAACCTACTTCCTGAAAAGCAGCCAAAACAGATTTCCTGAATGTTTTCAGGCAAAAGTGGACAGATTCTTGGTAAGAAAAAGGGTGAAAGTTTATCGGGAGTAGGCAGGAATGAGGACTTGAGGTTTCAATCAGATCAACTATGTTGTTATTAAATGGTGGAGCAGGTTTGAGTGCCAGAATAACCTACTACTTTTTGTTTGTAAGTTTGTCATAGGGATCAATATTATGTTCAGACTATAGTATAGTATACGAACCTAAGGTCACAACAGTGACTTCTATGAGATGCAGACATCATGCTTTTATGGAATTGATTTGTCCGATCATTTGGGGGGTCCTCAAATACAGGTGGGGAGGCAATGTCCTAATGATATTATTGCTAGACCACTAATCCCCAGATCTAGGTAATGTTTTGGGTACAAAGCTAAGAACTGTGGATGCCGGAGATCTGAAACAAAAACAGAAATTGCTAGAGACACTTAACAGATCTGGCAGTATCTGTGGGGAGAAAGCAGAATGATGAGTCACTGGACTCAATGTTAACAGCTTTCTCTCCACAGATACTGCCAGAGCTGCTCAGCTTCTCCAACAATTTCTGTTTTTGTAATGATCTGAGGACCTGGGTTCAAATCCTACCCTGACAGGTAGTCGAATTTGAACTCATTAAAAAAAAAATCTGGATTTAAGAATCTAATGATGATCATGGAACTGTTACTGACTGTCAAGAAAAACACATCTGATTCACTAATGTCGTTTAGTGAAGGAACCTGCTGACCTTGCCTTGTCTGGCCTACATGTGACTAAAAACACACAGCAATGTGGTTGACTCCTAACTACCCTTTGGGCATTTACGCCGAGCTAGCAACGTCCTCATCCTGTGAATGAATAAGAAAAATAATCAAACCCATTAGCAGCATTTATGTATAACTACAAACTATTTGTGGATGTTTGCCTATAAGATTGCTGAGTCTCACCTCATTAAATTCAGGGTTCAGCGTCTTCTTCTTGATCTGAGTCTTTTGTTTGGCCTTTTTTCCCATGTCAGGCTTGAGGCAGCTGAAAGAAATGAAAAGAAATGAAGTTTCAAATGAATGCCATTTACATTAAAGCTAAAATTTCATGAGATGGAGAGAGTTTCTGTCAATTGCTGCTATTGAAGTCAAATATTACAAGCCTGTGACATACAATCATCATGGATTTGATATTGAAAATGTCTAATTAACTTCCCTCCTCTTCTTTATTTCTTTATTTTTCGACCTTTGTATTCTAAGTTTTCTGTGTTTTAAGATGGCGCTGGAGAGTGGTGAAGCTACAACACTTTTCATGGTATTTTGTGATAAAATATGCAAGACAATAAATAAATCAAATCAAATCAAATCTGGAGTCACACATTAATCCTCAGCCAACCTTTTGCAATGCCATTCAGTAAGTACCTGTTGTAGGGGTGCAGTGTCTCAAGGACATTGCATCTAAATTTTCTACACAAGCAGCTTATAGGGAATCAGGAACTTATTTCATGAGAAATCACACGCATGAATGTATTTCAGTCTAATTTTACTCAGTTGTAATAGTGTGTTTGAATTTCAAGGCCTATACTTGTAAGGTGTAAACTCCCTTGTTTCTCTAAAGTCGGCATAAGGAGGGGGGATGTGTTGGGTATTCTAAAAGACATTAGGGTGGACAAATCCCAGGTCCAGATGGGATCTATCCCAGGTTACTGAGGGAAGTGAGAGAGGAAATAGCTGGGGCCTTAACAGATATCTTTGCAGCATCCTTGAGCACAGGTGAGGTCCTAGAGGACTGGAGAATTGCTAACGTTGTCCCCTTGTTTAAGAAGGGTAGCAAGGATAATCCAGGTAATTATAGACTGGTGAGCCTGACGTCAGTGATGGGGAAGCTGCTGGAGAAGATACTGAGGGATAGGATCTATTTACATTTGGAAGAAAATGGGCTTATTAGTGATAGGCAGCATGGTTTTGTGCAGGGAAGGTCATGTCTTTCCAACTTGATAGAATTCTTTGAGGAAGTGACAAAGTTGATAGATGAGGGAAGGGCTGTAGATGTCATATACATGGACTTCAGTAAGGCATTTGATAAGGTTCCCCATGGTAGGCTGATGGAGAAAGTGAAGTCGCATGGGGTCCAGGGTGTACTAGCTAGATGGATAGAGAACTGGCTGGGTAACAGGAGACAGAGAGTTGTAGTGGAAGGGAGTTTCTCAAAATGGAGAACTGTGACCAGTGGTGTTCCACAGGGATCCGTGTTGGGACCACTGTTGTTTGTGATATACATAAATGATCTGGAGGAAGGTATAGATGGTCTGATTAGCAAGTTTGCAGATGACACTAAGATTGGTGGAGTAGCAGGTAGTGAAGGGGACTGTCGGAGAATGCAGCGGAATATAGAGAGATTGGAGAGTTGGGCGGAGAAATGGCAGATGGAGTTCAATCCAGGCAAATGCGAGGTGATGCATTTTGGAAGATCCAATTCAAGAGCGAACTATACGGTAAATGGAAAAGCCCTGGGGAAAATTGATGTACAGAGAGATCTGGGTGTTCAGGTCCATTGTACCCTGAAGGTAGCAACACAGGTCGATAGAGTGGTCAAGAAGGCATGCGGCATGCTTTCATTCATCAGACGGGTTATTGAGTACAAGAGTTGGCAGGTCATGTTACAGTTGTATAGGACTTTGGTTCAACCACATTTGGAATACTGCGTACAGTTCTGGTCGCCACATTACCAAAAGGATGTGGATGCTTTGGAGAGGGTGCAGAGGAGGTTCACCAGGCTGTTGCCTGGTATGGAGGGCGCTAGCTATGAAGAGAGGTTGAGTAGATTAGGATTATTTACATTAGAAAGACGGAGGTTGAGGGGGGACCTGATTGAGGTCTACAAAATCATGAGAGGTATAGACAGGGTGGATAGCAGGAAGCTTTTTCCCAGAGTGGGGGACTCAATTACTAGGGGTCACGATTTCAAGATGAGAGGGGAAAAGTTTAAGGGAGATATGCATGGAAAGTTCTTTATGCAGAGGGTGGTGGGTGCCTGGAATGCGTTGCCAGTGGAGGTGGTAGAGGCAGGCACGATAGCGTCATTTAAGATGTATCTGGACAGATACATGAATGGGCAGGGAGCAGAGGGATACAGATCCTTGCAAAATAGGTGACAGGTTTAGATAGAGGATCTGGATTGGCACAGGCTTGGAGGGCCCAAGGGCCTGTTCCTGTGCTGTAATTTTCTTTGTTCTTCTTTGTTCTTTGTTCTAAAGGTACTGATATACTGTTGTGATTCACCACATTGAATGGATCCTAATCACCTCTCTCAACCACTCATTTTGTTTTCTTAAATTTGTTCATGGGTTGAGCATCTTTCTGGTAAGTAAAGCATTGATTGTGATACAATCTCAGCTGATGGTAATATAAATCAGATCCCAGAGTGAAACCTGGCTTGATAGCCCGTAGGTTTTAATACTGCAATTTTATTATCATGGCAGTCAGTCACTGAACCATCGAACAAGAGGCTGTTGGTGTACTTTTAAAAAAAGAACATAAGTTAATTACACAAAAGGAAAAAACTATGGACTGAATTTGACTTTTTTTTGACTGAGAGTTGCATCGAGGTTTTTGGATGGATTCTTGCCATGAAGCTCATTGAGATTTCTGGTCATTTCTTAAAAAATGAACTTCAATAACTACCTACCCCCCCTCATGGTGTCCAATTCTAATCCCATTTTATCACATGCCACACCCAGAACGACCCACCACTCACCAGATATCTGCCGAAACACTGGCATTCCTTGTGCCCGTACCATCTTTAAAAGCCTGTTATGTACCCGGACAAGCACTGTTCATTGAAGTTGCCCTGCATAGTTTCTGACATTTGCCCCAGTGTAAAAGCTGGAGAATTGTCACCTGGCTTTGCAGGCAGGGATTTTGAGGTCCTACTGAATGTGTTGTGCAAACGTGGGACTTAGAAATGTAGAAAATAGGGGCGTAAGAAAGTCATTCAGCTCTCCAACCCTGCTCCATTATTCAATGTGATAATCACTGATCATCCACTCAGTATCCTGTTTCCATTTTCTCCCCCCACCCTTTGATCCCTTTAGCCCTAAGAACTTTATCTACCTGTTCCTCCAGGACCAGCAGTGGAGTCCACAACACAAGTCCATGCCAGTCTTGTCCAAAGTTGCAAACCAGGTTACAGCAGTCTCAGTGAATTGAAGGAATGCCCAGCAATGCAGAAAGAAGGTCAATGTCCTTCTCTGCTCGGCCACCATAAGTCCCACCATCTTCCCACTGATCCTTCACACTTGCTCTGTCTCTGCTACTCTACGTGCCTGTTACCAAGGCTCACGCTCTACCACTTTCGCTATTGGTTGCTACATTATCCCTTACTCGCTCTCACCCACCCCATCCTCCCAAACCACTAACCCTGCTTGTCATCTGTGCTGTACACTCACTCATTCAGGATACCTGCTGAACTGCACCAAAAGTATTAGCTGTGACACCCACCCTCATCTCTGAAATTACCTGCCTGTCGCTCATTCCAGGAAAAAAAAACTGTCCTAACAGGGCAGAAAGAGTCCAGACGCATGGTGGGCTGAACATGATTAGGTTCCTCATGTGGAGAGGATCCTGATGACCGCTCGAGCAGCTGACTTATCGTATCAAATCTCTCTGAACTAATGTCAGAGGCTACCGATGACTTAATGTGCCGGGACCCCTGAACAAAGGCTATTCGCTCCCGTGTGCAGCATTGAGATTCAGAAGAATCCTAGAAGTGGATCAGGGATGTGCCATGAGAGTTCTTAAAGGTTGGCACATGTTGGATGCCAATGCCAGTGTATGAGGTACATGTGTGGCTGGTGCCCATGGGGTCTGCCCTGAGATGTAGGGGTCTACTGTCCAAGATGGAGGTCCTACAGAGCAAGCAGCAAGCCAAAATCGCCAGTGAGCCACTTGATTTCCACGCTTAGATTTCTCGCCTCTCACTTGTTTGGCGTGTTTGAGAAGGTAGGAAACTGAATATTAATGAGGCGAGTTGTGCCATAAATAAGGCATATAAAAAGTTGTAATCCCACTGATTGGCAACTCGACACACCACTGTGCAAACGCATAAAAGATGGAGGGAAAGTAATGCTCTTGACATTGAGATAGGCCTTACTGGACTTCTCATATGATTATGCCACAAATCTTGCCATAGTCCGTGTTACTCAGACCCCTATAAAATTCCACTCAGTAACACAATCTTTATCCCCAGCATCATCATTTACACACATTTAAATCCAGTGAATTATCAAGCTCATCTGTATTCTTTAATTTCTTATTCAATTGACAATGTCACAAGTGTTCTGTTTCGATCACTTTCTGGACATTCATCAGATGTGATTCTGACAATCTCACCCTGAGCCACACAGACTCACGCAATGAATTTTCTCACTGACCCCTAAGAAGTTAACACAGACAGGGCTTTTTTCCAGGAGTCTAGACTACTTTATGGCTACTAAATAACACATTTTCTGATATGGTACTTCTGAGCTGAACTTGCTTCTGGCCTCTGGCTTCTCCAGCTGTCTCTCTCTGGATCATAAAAGCTCTACTTAGTAGACACTTCAGCAATTTCCTCACCTGGTAACTTGTCTAGTCATTTAACTTAAGTCCCATGCTTTCTTGGCCAATGCTGTTTTGACCCACTGCTAAAACAATTGAGTTTCTGAAACTTAAAACAATGCCACCTTCACAGAACTGAAAACCGAAAACTCTTTACCTCTACTTTAGAACCCAAGTTCCCAAATAATAACACTGTATTATAAATCTTCATCACAATGTCCATCCTTAATTACCCTTGAGAAGGCAGTGATGAACCATTTTTTGAACCCCTGCAGAACATGTGATGTAAGTACATTCACAGTGTAACTAAACGAGATTAATTAACTCAGAGATAGTAGGAACTGCAGATGCTGGTGAATCCGAGACAACAAGGTGCAGGGCTGGATGAACACAGCAGGTCAAGCAGCATCATAGGAGCAGAGAGGCTGACGTTTCGGGCCTAGACCCTTCATCAGAAAAGGGGGAGGGGAAGGGGGTTCTGAAATAAATAGGGAGAGAGTGGGAGGCGGATACAAGATGGATAGAGGAGAGGATAGGTGGAGAGGAAACAAACAGGTCGAAGAGGCGGGGATGGGGCCAGTAAAGATGAGTGTAGGTGGGGAGTTAGGGAGGGGATAGGTCAGTCCAGGGAGGACGGACATGTCAAGGGGGCGGGATGAGGTTAGTCGGTAGGAGATGGAGGTGCGGCTTGAGGTGGGAGGAGGGGATAGGTGGGAGGAAGAACAGGTTAGGGAGGCAGGGACGAGCTGGACTGGTTTTGGGATGCGGTAGGGGGAGGGGAGATTTTGAAACTTGTGAAATCCACATTGATACCATTGGGCTGCAGGGTTCCCAAGCGGAATATGAGTTGCTGTTCCTGCAACCTTCGGGTGGCATCGTTGTGGCACTGCAGGAGGCCCAGGATGGACATGTCGTCTGAGGAATGGGAGGGGGAGTTGAAACGGTTCGCGACTGGGAGGTGCAGTTGTTTATTGCGAACCGAGCGTAGGTGTTCTGCAAAGCGGTCCCCGAGCCTCCGCTTGGTTTCCCCGATGTAGAGGAGGCCACACCGGGTACAGCGGATGCAGTATACCACATTGGCAGATGTGCAGGTGAACATCTGCTTGATGTGGAAAGTCTTCTTGGGGCCTGGGATGGGGGTGAGGGAGGAGGTATGGGAGCAGGTGTAGCACTTCCTGCGGTTGCAGGGAAAAGTGCCGGGTGTGGTGGAGCTGGAGGGGAGTGTGGAGCGGACAAGGGAGTCACAGAGAGAGTGGTCCCTCCGGAAAGCAGATAAGGGTGGGGAGGGAAAAATGTCTTTGGTGGTGGGGTCGGATTGCAGATGGCGGAAGTGTCGGAGGATGATGCGTTGGATCCGGAGGTTGGTGGGGTGGTACGTGAGGACGAGGGGGATTCTTTTTTGGTTCTTATTGCGTGGACAGGGTGTGAGGGATGAGTTGCGGGAGATGTGGGAGACACGGTTGAGGGCGTTCTCGGCCACTGAGGGGGGGATGTTACAGTCCTTGAAAAACAAGGACAACTGAGATGTACGGGAGTGGAATGCCTCATCCTGGGAGCAGATGCGGCGGAGGCGAAGGAATTGGGAATGGGGGATAGCATTTTTGCAGGAGGGTGGGTGGGAGGAGGAGTATTCTAGGTAGCTGTGGGAGTCAGTGGGCTTGAAATGAATATCGGTTTCTAGGTGGTTGCCCGATATGGAGACAGAGAGGTCCAGGAAGGGGAGAGAGGTGTTAGAGATGGTCTAGGTAAACTTAAGGTTGGGGTGGAAGGTGTTAGTGAAGTGGATGAACTGTTTGAGCTCCTCGTGGGAGCACGAGGCGGCGCCGATTCAGTCATCAATGTAACGGAGGAAGAGGTGGGGTTTGGGGCCGGTGTAGGTACGGAAGAGGGATTGTTCCACGTAACCTACAAAGAGGCAGGCGTAGCTTGGAGGAATCAGAAGTTGAAGATAACTAGCCAGGAGTAAGTTATGAACATTTTGTCCATGTTTTGTGCAATTGAGGAAGTTGTCAATTTTTACCTTAACAATGTAGCAATAACTTTGAAAATGAGCTCATTGGTAAATGAACAGAAAGAAATACAGAATGCATGAACACATTTACCTTGCTAATTTAGGCAAAGAACAAGACAAAAAAAAACTGACAGAAAACCAAGGCTAGATAACAAAACAGGGCAACTTGGATAGATGATCAGGAAGTAAGGACTCGGTCTGAGATTGAAAATGGATGGGTAACAAATTCTACATTGACAGTCCAAGGTTATGCACTGAGACCAACCGGAAGAATGTTGCTGATTTGACAGAAGGAAACAGGCTAACCAGAACAGTACAGCCCAGACTGAAAATTAGGAGTGAAATTGAAATGATCCTGAAAAGAGAATAGGGCTAAGAGTATCAATGATGGGCTTGTGATGGATGTTTTGGCAGACTAGGCAGGAAAGTACCAGTCACAGGCAAATGGAAAAACACACAACTGGCAGTGTTCAGCAGAGGCTGAAACACTATCAGGCACTCTGGAGGTTAGGAAGAACTCAACTAGTAGAAAGGCAGGTGTAAAATTACATACATTTTGACGAAAGGATCAGAGTATCCATTGGCATCCATAGCCGCTAAATGAACACAACGTACAATTCCGACTATCAGGCCTCCCTGCTGGCTGCTGTATAGGAGGGAGACAAGAATCCGGCCTCTCTCTTCAGTATCAACATTATGATCAGCCTGGAGGAAAAGAACAGCGAGTGCATCAGTGTGAAAATGCCGAAAGAATGTCCTGACTGAACCTTACTAGAAAGATTTATACACAATGACATGCCAGGTTGCACCAAACCAATGATTAATAATGTTATTAATTATTTCCAGAATGCACAAGCAGGACAATACTAGCACACGGCAGGGCCTAGAATAGGCAGGATTCACTTGCTCTAAAAACACTGGTAGAGCAGCCTATTTAGTTTGCTGGTCAGAATTTACTGCTGCACCTTAGAATATAGCTGTGAAATTTTTATTGGGGAACCTGTAGTGCACAAACCATCCTGGGGATTGACATCTAAAAATGGTATAGCCACAGTTACTGCACAGGGCAAATGCACTTCAACAAGTGTGCTGGGAAAATCACCATAGGATGCTGCGTAAGGGAAGTGTAATACATGAGCTATAACTACTCTGACAACTTCTTTCAGCTTATCACCTTGTTTTACCCCTCATCTCTCACTTAAAATCCTTGTTCAGGTCCCACCCAGGTATTAGACCAAAGCATCCCTTTCCTCCCTCAGCCTCTGCATCCTCACTAACTCCAACTTCAGTCAAAGATTTTCTTTCCCTTCCTTCTCTGAGTACGCAGATTTCCTCCTTAAATCTCTCCCTTCATATAAACTCCCCCATCCACATTCATAACTACCTCTTCGATCTCCCCATCTTGCTTGATTCCAATATCCATTATAACTATTACTGATAAGGTGGTCTCTGATCATTTCCTGTATCCTCCAGTAGACATATTCTCCTTCCCCCATCCAACCCTACTTTGTTCTGTGTGCACTATTTCCTACAGCATGTTTGATTATTTAGTCTCTGGCTCACAACTGATCATGTCTTGTGGAGTGGGACCTAAACATGCCATTCAGTTTTAAACTTCCTTTCAAAATTGTTTTCGCATGGAATGTTGGTGCTGTTTGCAAGGTCAGGGTTGTTGCCCATCCCTAATTGCCACTCTGGGTCATTTCAGACGGCAATTAAGAGTAAACCACATTACTGTGCTCCAAGTATGGATGGCAGATTACCTTCTCTGAAGGATATTCATGAACCAGGTTTGTTTTTATGAATGTAAGACCATAAGATATAGGAGCAGAATTAGGCCATTCAGCCCATTGGCTTTGCTCTGCCATTCAATCATGGCTGATATGTTTCTCAACCCCATTTCCCTGCCTTTTCCTATAAACATGGATCCTCTTACTAATCAAGAACCTATCCATCTCTCCCTTAATTACATTCAATGACTTGGTCTCCACAGCCTTCTGTGGCAATGGGTTCCACAAATTAACCACCCGCTGCCTGAAGAAATTCCTCCTCATCTCAGTTCTGCAGTGTTGTCCCTTTGCTTTGAGGCTGTGCCCTCAGGTTCTAGTATCTTCTACTAGTGGAAACATCTCCACGTCCACTACATCTGTGCCTCTCAGCATTGTGCAAGTTTCAATGAGATCGGCCCTCATCCTTTTAAACTTTGAGTACAGACCCATAGTCCTCAACAGCACCCCACAAGAAGAGCCCTTCATTGCGGGATCATTCTTGTAAACCTTTTCTGTACTCCCTCCAAGGGCATAACATCCTTCCGTAGATATGGGGCCCAAAGCTGCTCGCAATATTCCAAATGCGGTCTGACCAGGGCCTTGTACAGTCTCAATAGTACATCTCCATAGTACATCTCTGATCTTGTATTCTAGTCCTGTTCAAACAAATGCTAACATTTCATTTGCCTTCCTAACTGCCAACTGAACCTGCAAGCTATCCTGAACTAAGACTCCCAAGTCCCTGTGTGCTTCAGATTTCCAAAGTCTCTCCCTGTTTAGAAAATAGTCTATGCCTCTATCCTTCCTACCAAAGTGCATAACTTCATGCTTTGCCACATTCTATTCCATCTACTAATGACAATTGTTACACTGTACTATTCGACTAGCTTTTTATTTCTGGATTTTATTGAATCAGTGTCTGCTATGTTGGGATATGAACCCTTGTCCCCAGATCATTAGCCCAGGGCTCTGGATTATTAGTGACATTACTATCATGGCACAGCCTCCTTCTTTGTTCCCATTAAAATCATACATATTCTTACGCCAGTTATTGCCCCAGTATACCCCTTCTGTCCTTACCCTGAAGTCTAAAAGACACAGACTTGAATACATTTGCAGACAACTAGTTTACTCATCCATTACCAAGTTTGGTATAAAATATTTAGGCCTGCTCTCCATCACTGAAACTGTTTGTTCAAAGGATATTCATAATCTGAAGATAACCCCTGGCCCCAGTGTCTCTTCTTGATTACTATCCTTCCTCTTCCACCAATTGCCTCCTCCATTCTCACACCCACCTTCAATAATAAGTGTGAGGAGTTGATGGACTTTTGTGTTGCTAATATCAAAACCATTCATTCAGTATCATAAGAAGCACCCTGGACTTTTCAAGTGAAGTATGCATGAGTTATGCAAAGTCTATTTGGATTCCACTGAAGAATGCTGTTACTTAACTCTATAGTAACGTTGGGGTCCAAAAAAGGGCTCGCCCAGTGCTGACTGTTCTAACAAAACCTGGCTCCAAAGAACACCTCATTCTTCCTCAGCGACTAAGAAGCCAACGGGTGGTGTAGTCCTGCCTGTAGCAAGTATGCTGAGCTTCGTTGACTGATTTTCTTAGGATCAGAGAATAGTTAACAGGTGACAGTTCAGTTTATTAAAAATGTTTGAAATTGAGAGAAATGAACTGGGCAACAGATTTGTGAAACACCCTGAGGAATCAGGGGAGTGCTGGATTGTTTCTGGTTTCAGGTGAATTCACCCCTGCTGTAGCTGTCAATCAATGGAGGGGAGTTTAAAAGAGCAGCCTGTTTTAATTTCTACTTATTAGGAAGCATTTAGCCTTCTTTGGACACCTTAAAGTGCAAGTCATGAGTCAAGTACTGAGTAGCAGCCTGTCAAAAAACACAGTTAGTCAGCACTTTTGGTTGGCCAGCACCGCCATTCCAGTGCATTCCATGTTCAATGAAAATTTATGACAATACTGTACAATGAACCTTTAGCAGAAAGCACCTTGAGGAACTTTAAGGGAAAATGGACAGTGACTGGTAGCAAAGGTGTTGAGGTGATAGATTTTGAATATGGTAGAGGTGCTTGGTAATTCTGGTAGTCATGATTTTACAGAGGATTTGGAGGCAAGACTCTTGGGACTAAATGCAACGAAGGAAGAACAATAGAGAAATGGAGAATTTATAGGTAAAGGCAGAAACTTTGAAAATGATATCTTGGAAAGGAGGTCAGTAGAGACCGGTGGGCAATAGAATAATGAGAGAGTTTTAAAGACAAGTAGGGTGCAAAACTTTAGAGGTTGGGCTTTATGAAAACTGATGGCTATAGGAGAAGTCAAGAGGTGACGTTGAACATTTCCAGTGGCAGAGGGAATCAGGTAAAGTTGAAAGATTGTGGTAAAGCTCTATTTTAGGTCAAAAGCTACGCATTTAAAAAGTAAACTTACTAAAGCAGCCAGGGATAGGTAAGAGTACACAATTTTGTTGTGACAGGACAATCTCATGAGTTAGCTTGGTGTAGAAGAATTTCTTGTGCTTGCCTTGGTAAGCTTGAGTCTGAAATACAATGGTGGTCATAGGATTCAGGGGAGATCCTATAATAATAAGTAAATCCTATGGTAATATATAGACCCTATAGTAACATGTAAATGATGATTAGCATACCACATCATAAGGTGACTGTGTAGGGGCAGGAAGAGAACCCATTGCTGGAGATGAACCTTATTGGAACAAGTAGCATGTGATAATCCTGCCTCAAACTTGGACAGTAAAAGAGAGTTGTGAGATTTTGAAAGTCAAATGCATGGACATAATGTTTAGCATTTGCCAAGGACTGTAACTTTAATCTGGGCAGTCTCAATAGAATCACTCTGGAGGGATTTGGATGATGGAAATGTGGGAGAAATAAACTCTAGATTGGACAGTCTTGGATTCGAAATGGAGATGACAAATTAGCTTGTAGTTAAGGTGAAAGGACTTCTTTGTGGCTTTTATTGAGGAGAATGGACAGGACAGATCCAAAAATAGAATGAATATTGTTTACAGAAGTCAAATAAACCATTTGCAAATTATTTAGTGACCTTCGCAATCTATGCGAAGAAATATTTTCTGAAGTATCATCAGTATTGTGCAAAATAAATAGGAAACAATGCAGCCAATTTGCAGAAAGAGATCCTCAAACAGTAATACGGTAATGATCTGATAATCTGCTGAAGAGTTTTCAACTACCGAATCCATTGAGAGTTTGTCCTTGGCTTTTGAAAACATAAACCACACTGAAGCCAGCAACAGTCTTGAGTTTAAAATGTTTGGTGTAGGTCCTTTGTGATATTTTTCAAAAAAACCTGCAGAACGTGATGGGTCTCTTCATAAATGAGACCAGAGCTGCAGATAATGGCCCAATGGCAAGCCTGGTAGTAAGTAGCCAGCTTGATAATACCTGGATATTATCTCAAAGGACTTCATAATGTTAAGGCCTTTATAGCCTTTGCCCCTGCTGGACATCACAGCTCAGAGACAAGCAATCTGCTTGAAAAATATTAGTTGATGAATAAATGTTGACTAGAACACAAGAGAATTCCACAGCAATTCTCAAAGTATCGCTGATTGCCATGGGATACTTTACCACTATGATCTGAGAGGAGACAGGATATGTTTAAGATTTAAGTCAAAAAGTGACATCTCCAACAACACAGCACTTCCTCAGTACTGGAGTATCTGGAGCATAAATTTTCTGGCCAAGTCACTGAAGTGTGTGACTTCAGCAAGAATGACTTTTGATTCCATGATGGAAAATAATATGAATTAAGTCTGGTACACTAAGGTGGTCCTTCTAATCTTTAAAAAGGGAGGTGCAGTGTTGTTGATGATGGTCAAGGGCTTCAGTTGCTGCCACTGCAACTGCAGGGGCACACTGATCACCCTGCAGTCACTGCCTGTGAAGTTATTGCAAGCAATGCTGCAGGCATCTAGCTGTATCAAAAAATGGCTGGCACAGTGGCTCAGCAATTAGCACTGCTGCCTCACAGCGCCAGGGACCCAGGTTTGATTCCAGCCTTGGGTGACTATCTGTGTAGAGTTTGCACATTCTCTCCGAGCCCGAGTGAGCTTCTGGTTTCCTCCCACAGTCCAAAAATGTGTGGGTTGCTTGGATTGGCTATGCTGTAGTGTGCAGGCTAGGCAGATTAGCCCTGAATAATGCAGGGTTACAGGGATAGGATGGGTGGGGAGGTGAGTTTGGGTGGGATGCTCTTCGAAGTGTTGGTGTAGACTTGATGGGCCAAAAGGCTTCTATCTGCATTGTGGTGTTTTAAGATCATTCTATGATCTGCTTCACACACTTCCCCTAACTCATGGATTCATAGAGATGTACAGCACTTGTAAATCTTTTCTGAACCCTTTCAAGTGTCACAACATCCTTTCTATGGCAAGGAGACCAGAATTGCACACAGCGCTCCAAAAGTGAACTAACCAATGTCCTGTACAGCTGCAACATGACCTCCCAACTCCTAAACTCAATGCATTAACCAATAAAGGAAAGCATACCAAATATCTTCTTCACCATTCTGTCTACCTGCAATTCCACTTGCAAGGAACTATGAATCTACACTCCAAAGTCTTTTTGTTCAGCAACCCTCCCCAGCACCTTCCAAGTAAAGTGTATAAGTCCTGACCTGATTTGCTTTTCCAAAATGCAGCACCTCACATTTATCTAAATTAAACTCCATCTGCCACTCCTCGGCCCATTGGCCCATCAATCAAGGTCCCATTGTGCTCTGAGATAACCTTCCTCACTGTCCACTACATCTCCAATTTTGGTGTCATCTGCAAACTTCCTAACCATACCTCCTATGTTCACATCTAAATCATTTATATAAAGGACAGAAAGCAGTGGACCCAGCACCGATCCTTGTGGTTCACCCCTGATCACAGGCCTCCAGACTGAAAAACAACCCTCCACCACTACCCTCTGCCTTCTACCTTGCTAACCAGTCTACAATGAGAAATCTTGTCGAACGCCTTACTGAAGTCCATAAAGATCACATCCACTGCTCTGCCCTCATCAATCCTTTTTGTTACTCCTTCGAAAAGCTCAATTAAGTTCATGAGACATGATTCCCATGCACAAAACCATGTTGGGTATCTCTAATCAGTCCTTGCCTTTCCAAATACATGTAAATCCTGTCCCTCAGGATTCCCTCCAACAAATTGCCCACCACCAATGTCAGGCTCACCGATTTATAGTTCCCTGGCTTTTCCTTACCACCTTTCTTAAACAGAGGCACCACATTAGCCAACCTCCAGTTTTCCGGCACTTTGCCTGTGGCTATCAATGATACAAAAATCTCAGCAAGGGGCCCAGCAATCACTTCTCCAGCTTCCCACAGAGTTTTAGGGCACATCTGATCAGGTCCCAGGGATTTATCCACCTTTACGCGTTTTAAGTCATCCAACACCTCCTCCTCTGTAATATGGACATTTTGACTTCCAAATTTTTGCCCATCTTTTCCACAACTCCATGTTTGAATATCTCCAATCAGGTTTTTAGCCCTGTACAGTACAGAAATTGCTCTTGACAAAATCACGAATGAGAAACTTTGAAAATATGACTGAGGAAAATGATTCTTCTTCTTCAAGCCACCTGTAACTTTTGACACAGTTGACCACACCTCCATCTCCAGCACCTCTCTTCCTCTGTCCATCAGGGTGGAACTACATTTCGTTGGCTCCATTCTTATATACCTACTTGTAGACACAGATTCACCTGTAACATCTTCACATCCTAACACCATTACTGGTGGAATCCCCCCCCAGGACATTTCCTCCTTCACCTTTTATTTCCCATCTATGTGTTACCTCTTTGGAAAGATCAACTGAAAATAACAAGTGATTCAGATTCCACTTGTATAATGACAACAATCAGTTTCATCTCACCATCAACTCTCTGAACTACTATCCCTCTGATTTGTCATAAATCCAATACTAGATGAAGAGCCATTTCCTACAAGTAAATATTGGGAAAACTGAAGCAATTGTTTTGAATCTCACTACCAGCTGTCCTTACCACCGTTTCCAACCATTGAGTTCTGAGGAAGGGTCACGGACCCTAAACGGTAACTCTGATTTTTTCTTCACAGATGCTGCCAGACCTGCTGAGCTTTTCCAGCAACTTTGATTTTGTTCCATTGTTTCCAACCCTGGGTACTTCTGAAGCTGAGCTGGATTGTTCTCAGATTTGGATTATATTCAATCCTGAAATGAGTATCTGACCACATATTCACCTGAACATCTGGATTACTTCCTTCCATACCCGACTCACATCCTGCCTCAGTTCATCTGCTGCTGAAACTCTCATCAATGTTTGTTTCTTCTATATCTGAACATTCCAACTCCTAGCTGCAACCTGACATAAACTTGTGCTCACTCAAAGCTCTGCTGCCTATATATTAACACACTATCATCCATCCACCACCTCAGTACTTATATTAGCTCCAACTCCAACAGCATATCAGTTTTAAAATTCTTGTCCTTGTTTTCAAATGCTTCCATAGTCTCCATAATCCCACTCCTCCTTATCTCTGTAATTTCCTCTAGCCCCACAGCCTTAGACTCTACTATTCCAAGAATCTGCTAGTTGGTTTTCCACATTCCATCTATTGTAAACTTCAGGTCATCCAAAACTCTGCTCATGTTTTAACTCACAGCAAGTCCCATTTCCCTATCACCTCTGAGCTTACTGGTCTACGCTGACTCCTTGTCAAGAAACGTCTTGATGTAAAAATTATCATTCCTGCTTTCAAATACTGCATGACCGCGCTCCTCCCCATCGCTGTAATCTCCTCCAATTCCATAGACTACCAAGACATGGGTGGCATGGTGGCTCAGTGGTTAGCACTGCTGCCTCACAGCACCAGGGACCTGGGTTCAATTCCAGCCTCGGGCGACTGTCTGTGTGGAGTTTGCATGTTCTCCCTGTGTCTGTGTGGGTTTCCTCCAGGTGCTCTGGTTACCTCCCACAGTCCAAAGATGTGCAGGGTAGGTGGGTTGGCCATGCTAAATTGCCCATTGTGCCCAGGGATGTTTAGGTTAGGTGGGTTAGACATGGGAAATGCAGTTGTGGGGGAATGGGTCTGGGGGAAATGCTCTTTGGAGGGGCAGTGTGGATTTGTTGGGCCAAATGGCCTGTTTCCTCACTGTAAGGTTTCTATGATTTGTGCCTTTCTAATTCTGACTTCATGTTCATCCCCAATTTTAATTCCTCAACATTTGTTGCATAGGCTTCAAATTCTGGAAATCCCTCTGTACCTCTCCCTCTTTCTTTCCTCCTTTACGATGCTTCTTAAGGCTCATTTCCTGGACCAAGCATTTGGGTGATCTGACCTAAAATGCCTTTAAATGGATCTGCACCATACAAATCATAGTAATGTCACTGGACTAGTAATCTAAAGCTTGTTCTGGGACATGGGTTTGAATCCCACCAAGGCAGATGCTGAAGTTTGAATTCAATAAAATTATGGAATTTAAACTAATAGCAACCATGAAACTGTCAATTGTTATATAAAAAAAAATCTAGTTCATAATTCTGAAGAAGGGTCCAGACCAAAACGCCCCATTTCTGAAGAAGGGTCCAGACCCGAAATGTCAGCTTTCCTGCTCCTCTGATGCTGCTTGGCCTGCTGTGTTCATCCAGTTCTACACCTTGTTATCTAGTTCACAAGTCTCCTTTTATAGAAGGAAATCTGCCATCCTCACCTACTGTAGTCAACATGTGACTCCAGACCCACAACAATGTGGTTGACAGAAGGCAGTTAAGAATGGGCAATAAATGCTGGCCTGACCAGCACTGCCCACATCCCATGAAACAAATAAAAAAGGATATTCAGTGAAGGACCCCGTGGGACATAATATGTTATTATTCAGTCAGAGTTTTTTTGAAAACTACAACCCAGAGAATCGATTGGTCCAAGTTTACCTCATCCTCATAAAGTGACATTCCTCGTGATGATCCAACTGTTGAACCTCGTTTTACCTATGAAAATATTTACAATGGATTTAGTGACAGCCTGGAGGGCAGCAAATGAATACATTCACAAATGTAACTAATTGCACAAGTGTAATTAATATGTACACACAATCTAACACTTTGGAAACTTGTTTCTTCCTATGGTCTGTTCATTAGTCAGCCCATGTCTTCCTCCAGTGTCAATCGTCCAAAGTTAGAGTGAGAACTCCACTATCAGTACTGTTGTACGAGCTACATTATCACATTCATGCCAATATTTAGGGCATTCTTGAGACTCATGCCACCTTGAAACAGTCAAGACTGCCCAAAGCACATTTTACACATTATCTGATGGAGGAGATTTCAAGCCACCAATTTAGTTGATTGGAACCTTGATGCGAGCACTGAAAATTCAACATTTTAATTGACCACAAGGCACAGGCCCCTGCAGGTTAAAATACTAGTATTCCTTACTGGCACCACTCTCTCCAAACAGATGTTGAAGTTCTTTGCTTGATTAGGTTTAAGTTTTTTCAGAGAAACTCTGGTCTCCCCGATGAATTCATTGTGACCAAACTTATCTTCATCCAGGACAGAGATCCTGTATTGGAAAGAGATCAAATCAGGATGAAAAAAATCAATAATTTACAGGAAGGTGATCAAGTGAAGTTTGATACACAGCCATGTAAGGAGCTATTTGGACAGATAACCAACATTTGTTTTAATGAGTGTATTAAAGGAGGAGAGTTAGGTGGAGGAGTTCTACAGCTTAGGGCCAACACAGATAAAAGCATGATTGCTAATGATTAAAGTTTGGTATGAAAATGCAGTCAGAATAGGAGGAATACAGAAACTTGGGAGGGTTGTTGGGCTGGGGTGGATTACAGAGATGAAGCAGTCTATGAATGGATTTGAAAACAAGGGTTAAACTTTTAAAGTTGAGGGCTTGTCGGATCAGGAGCTAATGTGGTTCAGGGATAATGGATGAATGGCTCTTGCTGCAGTTTAGGGTAGAAACAGCAGAGTTTTGAATTAATTCAGATTTATGTTGGGTGAAGGATGGCCAGCCAATCAGAAATGAAATAATCAAGATTAGAGGTAACAAAGGCAAATTCACCAGAATTTAAGAACAGTGTTACAATCCAATTAGGCAAAAGGGAAGATGATGTAAGTCTGAAAAACAGGACATGAACGTTCTTGTCAAAGAGATGGCAATCACATCCTAACAAGTTAATCAAATTTGGAAATATTTGGAGTAAAGTTCATTGAATTCATAAAGCATATGTATAATCTAAGCAATTCTGATCGGCTTGGGTGTGTTCTCATAAATCAGCATGGATGAGAGCACCAAAATTATTAAATATAAACTTATGTGACATTATAGAAACTGTTCAAATAAAATCAAGCGGCTTAGAGAACAAGGTAGAAAATTGAGGCAGAAATGAACAGATGGGTTAGGCATCCAGGTTAAAATGAGCAAACATTGAGATCCAGAAAAAACTGACACTCAGACCTAAATCTTAAGTTGTTTTTGGCGGTGTCAGTTTTGTTGATTTTCACAGAGAGTTCTCTCCACGAGACCTAGCAATTTATCTCACTGCATCTTAAGAACTTTTTGCCCCTATGGTGACCCTCTCACTCGATTCTAGCCCCATCCTCCAACTCACCATGTACCAGAACGAATCACCACTCACCAGATATCCGCTGAAATGTCGCTGTCCTGGCACCTTTGTCGTCTTTAAAGGTTGCTGCGCACCCGGAGAGGAATTGGCAACACAGCGTTGCCCCTCACCTAATGTAACGGCATAGCAGACACAAAACCAGACTGCCATGGCACATAACTGACACTCCGTGGCATAAACAATCCCATTCTGTCACTGATTTTGCGGTTTATCAGCCAGGTCTCTAAGTTTACATGTCCTCGGCAACACCCCATCTAAACCTTTCTGAGTCACCGCTACTCTGACCTCAGTGTCCACTGTCAACCTGCATCTTGTCACTGTCTAGTAAGGGAACATTACACATAGGTAATCAATCGGGCAATTCCAAAGATGAGTTTTTTACTTCCAACCAGCAAAACCAAACACAAACACCTCAAGTAGAGGCTGCAGTTCGCTCCCATAATATAAACCAAATGATGACCAAGAACTACGTTCCATGATGGTTTGATACACCCAGCTCTCATCTACTGATGTGTCAACCAGAATCTGTCCAGCTTGTAGTGCCTGTTACAGCTGAAACCTGTCATGCACAAGGAGAGCTTCCTCCTCTCAATGTTCTCATCCCCAAAGACTACGGTCAGTCTGCCAGTTCCTCAGTATCTATTGCATTGCCTTGCTGCCTGCTCCAATTGTGCAGAGCACAGCAAACCACAGTGATGTGGCACACTCTGTCTGCACCATAATGGGGAGTCCCCCAGACCAGTCCAAGCAGCAGAACAACATCTTCAACAGTTGTAACATCTGCTCCACATGGCTCTGGATGAAGCATGGACAGCATCGTAACTGTGTTTGCATCAGTCAGGAGGTTGCGCAATGGTGTTATGAACCATAATCATGGAGGGTACCCCTTGTCCCTCAGTAAGCAGCCTTGTAAGGCAGCTGGATCCTCAGAAGCATGAAGTACATGAGCCAGTTCCAGATGTAGCAGTTATGGCAGCTGCCTGGGGTACACAGCTCCGGCACTGGTAATGGTGAATACAGATCAGCTGGACATTAACTGAATCATTCCTCTTCCTTTTAATAAATTCCACAGCATTGTGAAATGGACTTCTCAGTACCATGTCGGTTGAGTCGATAGCACCCTGCATCTGGGGGAAGGCAATTATGTTTCCAAATGCTGCTGACTGGACTGCAGTACTAACCCTGTCATTGGGAAATGACATTAATCGGTGTGATCTTGCACAAATGGAATCAGTCATTGCCCACTAGCCTCCCACAGAGGAACTTAGGACTCATGTGGTGCAGCAATAGTGTCTCTAGTTCGAGACCATGAGGCCTGGGTTCAGGTCTTACCTGTTGCAGAGATGTGGCATAATGTATCTGAACCAGTTAAATTTTTAAAAAATCACTGCTCCTCCAAATCCCAACTTTGGCTTGGGCCAAATATTGCAGTAGTAGTGTTCCTATCTCTGGGCCAGTGGGCCCAGGTTCTTGTCCGATCTGCCCCAGACATGTGTCATAACATGCCTAAATAGATTGATTAAAAATAATTACTCTGAGGAACTAAGGGCTCTTGTGGTGCAGTGGCATTGTTCCTACTTGGGAGCCACCTCCCGCCAGCTATGGAGTCATAGAGTCATACAACATAGAAACAGACCCTCTGGTCCAACCAGTCCATGCCAACGACATTCCCAAACTAAACTCATCCCACCTGCCTGTGATTTGCCCATATCCCTCCAAGCCATGCCTACTCATGAACTTATCCAAACGTCTTTTAAATGTTGTACCTGTACCTGCATCCACCACTTTCTCTGGCAGTTCATTCCACACACGAACCACTCTCTGTGTAAAAAAGTTGCCCCTCATGTCCTTTTAAAATCTTTTTTCTCTCACCTTAAAAATATTTTAACATAAAAAAGCCTAATAAACCTTCTCTGAACTGCTTCCAATGTCTTTACAGGCTTCCTTAAATAAGGTGATCAATAATGTGCACAGTACTCCAAATGCAGTCTCACTTGTTCCCTGTATAATTGAAGCATAACCTCCTAATTATGTAGTCAGTTGTCCCATAGTAACATAACATCTGTTAGTATTTTAACTTTGTAGATTTGCCTCCTCCTTATCTCATCACCTCCTCCAGCCATACAACTGATCAAAAGTATCCTCGAATCCTCCAGCTCAGGCATCTTGTGTTTTCCCCATTCCCTTTTCTCCACCATTGTAACTTTAGAAGAATAAAAGGTGATTTGATTGAAACATACAACATCCTGAGGGATTTTGACAGGAAAGAATATTTTGTCTTGTGGAAGCAACAAGAACTAGTTGTCGCTGTTTAAAAATGTAGCCACCCATTTAAGACAGAATTAGGCAATAATTATTTTCTCAGGGGGGTCATGAGTCATTGGATTTCTCCCTTAAACCATGGCAGCAACAGAAACTTTGAGTACTTTTAAGGTACAGTGTATAGTTCTCGATAAGTATGGGGTGAGAGATTATTGAGTTAGGCAGAAATGTGGAGTAATCAGATCAGCCCTGATCTTCTCGAAAGGAGATGCTGCTAATTCATACATATTTTAAGATGTTGTTTAAAACCTGCCATTTTCATTCAAGGGTTTGGTTACCTTTTGTAATATCTCCCTGTGTGACTTGAGGGCAAAATTTGTTTCATAACATGGGAATGCTTTACATAAAGAAGTGTTATATATGGTAATGTTGGATTATATCACCCATATAAGATTGTTGAGTGTTGTGTAATAGCCTTGAAATGGCATAGCAGACACAAGACCAAACAGCTCATGGTAGCGGACACTCCCTGGCATATACGATCCCATTCTCTCACTAATTTTGCTGCTTAACATCACGTCTCTCAGTTTACTTGTCCTCAGCAACATCTCGTCTAAACCTCTCTAAGTGCCCATCGTAGACCTGCATCTTGTCACTGTCTATTAGTGGAACATTGCATACAGATAACTGGTCGGGCAATTCCAAAGATAAGTATTTATTTCCAGATGATTAGAAAATATCTATTCTGAGGAACTAGCTAGTAGGCCTGGGCAGATGTCCTACCTGCTTCAGAAGTGTGTCATAACATGTGTCTGAACAGGGTGATTAAAAACTTCTACTCTAGCCAGGTGGCCTGGTTTCAAATTTCAGGTTGATTTAAAAAGATCAGGTTTTTGGGCCTTATAGCGCAGTGGTAGTGCCCCTACCCCTGAACTAGGGACAGCCAGGTTCCAATCCCATCTGCTCCAGAGCTGTGCAATAACATGTCTGAACAGATTGATAAGGAAAGCATCTCTAATATTTATGGAACTAGCCAGGTGACCTGGGTCAACTCTCACCTGCTCCATAGGTGTGTAATAACATCACTGAAAAGGTTGATTAAAAATAAATCCTTTGAGGCACTAGGGATATAGTTGTAGTGGTTTAATCTCTGAGCCAGGTGGCATGGATTCAAACCCTGCTTGCTGCAGAGGTACATAATAACATCTCCCCAACAGGTTGAATAGAAAAACGTATATTTTTGAGCTCTTCTGGCACAGTTTCAGTGCCCTTACCCCTGAGCCAGGAGGCTCAGGTTCAAAACTAAAAATTGTGGAAAAGCTCAGCAGCTCTGGCAGCATCCGTGGAGAGAGATCAGAGTTAATGTTTCAGGTTGAGTGATCCTTCCTCAGAACAGGTTCAAGTTCCTCCTGTCCAGGATGCGTGTCATAACAGAACAGATTGATTAAAATAACTACTCAGAGGAACTTCTGCATGATGTCTTGAGATAGAGATAATGGATCTCCAACAACCACAGCTATCTTTCTTTCTGCCAGGTACGACTTTTACCAAACAGACATTTTACTGCAGTTCCCACAGGCCCCTCAGTTTTGCTAGGGGTTCTCAATGGCACACTCAGTCAAACACCACTTAATGTCAAAGGGAATCACTCTCACCT